TTCTATATAGTATCATCCAGGGAAAGCGAATGTGGTGGCGGATGCACTCAGTCGCTGACCTGTTGGTAGTCTTTCTGCTCTATTTGCTACTGAGTGGAATGCTTTGAAGAATGTAGATGAGTTGTCGGACACTTTTATGGCTTGCATGGTGGTTACACCTTCTATCATTCGCAAGGTTTTGCAAGCCCAAGTTATCGATTAGCAGTGCATTGACAAGGTTACAGAGATAGCTTCTGGAGAGGTTCCATTATACTATGTTGGGGCTGATGGAGGTTTAAGGTAAAAAGGACGGTTAGTGGTACCTTCTACTGATGATTTGAGGATGGATGTGATGACTGAGACTCACCACTCTGAGTTATCTGTTCATTTAGGAGGCGATAAGATGTATCAGGATATGAAGCGGCAGTTTTGGTGGGTGATAAGCGTTGAATATTGCATATTCAAGCGCCCCTTCTTGCACTAGTTAAGTCCATGAATGGAGTATAATGTACAGTTTAACTCCATTTGTGTATGTATTTCTAATTTCAGGTATTCTGCCCGAGAATGATTAATGAAGCGGTTTTGACATCATTTGCGTTGAAACACGTGCGCCGTTCGGGGAGTCATTTTGGATCAAGTCTCTTCTGTTGCCGTTATTGCACCCCTCGTGGCTTAGTGTTCATCGTGGAGCTCGCATCAATGCACCGGCTTAGAAAGGCTTGCAAAATAAAGCCTGGTTTGAAATGCAGCTGCAGGCCTCCACGGGCGCCCACCGCGCCATCGCGAGCGCCCGCCCTTTTCCCATGCTCTCTAACTCATTTGGTGGGGCCTCACAAGGCCCCCACGGGCACCCGCCAAGCCACCACGGGCGCCCGCCGGCGTATCGCGGGCCCCCGCCGATCTGCAGACAGCTCTGCATTCCTGCTCCCAATGCTGTCCCCTTGACTTATTTTTGTGGCTCTAATCCTTCTAGGGTTGGTAGGGCACGAAAATGGGGGGAAATGGAGAGGCCAAGAAGATATATGAGAGGCTTGAAGCATAGAGAATGATATCTTATCTTTGCAAGATTTCTAGAGAGAGAAAAATTGAGTTTTGAAGGACTAGGTGGGTCTTGAAGCTTGGAGCTCAAAAATGGAGGTAGAGGGCAAGCTTCTTCCTTCTTCTAGGGCATCCTTGGGTAACTAACTCTTCCTCTAGGGAGGTGATGAAGCCCTCCCCTTGTAAGCATGTTCTAGTGTAAATTCTATTTTGGGAGAACAATGTATAATTTTTGGTCATTTCATGATCTAGAGCATAATATGTGATTGTAATGAATTTCAATGCCTATACATGATTATTTTGAGTTATTCATCTTGTCTTTAGATGGTTTCTTTTCCTAATCATATTGCTTACACTTTCATAGTGACAATGAAAGTTAGATCATGGAATGGATTTAATGGCATGGAGTTGGAGAACCTAGATAGTCCATTGCTTAGGGTTCCCTTTGATGGTCTATACTTGATTCTTAGCTTTGTGTGCTTCCATCATTTAATTAAAGGCTTGATAATCTTTGGCTTAATAAGCATGTTGAAGGCTACATCCTAGTTTAGGTAGTTCAAGCATGTAAATCTTTGATGGATTATTCTTGTGTTTGATTTAATGAATCTCTTGAGGATATCATAGCAACCAAGGGTTGTTATGTATCATGACCATCATTTATGTTGATTTTCCCAATTTAGTCCTAATCTAGCATGTGCATAGGGAGATTAGCATGTGCATAGGGTTGGAGCGGATTCACTTCCCTAGTCCTCTTTACTTGTATTTCATCTCATTTAAATTCTTGCAAGCTTTTATTTTATGCATCTTAATTTCATAAGCTTAAGTGACAACCAACAAATCCTCTATGAACACCCGTATCATTCTAAAAAGACTCTAGACACTTAGGTTGCCATAGATTAGCGTAGTCCCAGTAGTTTGACTTACCCGACCAATAGCCTTATTTTACAATGATTTATAGATTGAATTCTCAACCGATCAGTGGACAGGTATGAAGAGGGATATTGCTCTTTTTGTCTCACAATGTAATACTTGTCAGATGTGCGAGGCTTATTCCCTTGTAGGATGTAAAGAAGCACCCAACGCATGCCTTGCATACATGCTTCAACTGCAGAAATTTCAGACAAACGACCCTTATAGTCAAGACTTAGAGCTCGCCAACGGTTGATGTAGTTAACCATGGGTTCACCCTTCATCTGTTTTGTGTTTGTAAGGTCCAGCATACTTACAATACGACGAGTGCTGTAGAAACGGTTGAGAAATTCTCATTCCATCTGCTCCCAACTGTCAATACTTCTAGCTTTGAGGTCTGTGTACCAATCAAATGCATTTCCTTTGAGGGAACGAACGAATTGATTGACAATGAGATCTCTGTTTGTACCAGCATTGCCGCAAGTTTCTACAAAGTGTGCGACATGTTGCTTGGGATTGCCTTTTCTGTCAAATTGTTAAAGCTTTGGAGGTTGATACCTAATCGGCATTTTTAAGATGTCAATTCTTTCCGTGTAAGGCTTTGAATACATGCGAGCACTTTGAGGAATGCCACTATATTATTCGTTTATGCTATTCACTATCATGTCTTGAAGTTGCTGAACAGAAAGTGAGATGACGGAGACAGCTTCAATTATTGGATTAGCAGACATGTCATTTTGATCGTCAATTGGAGTGGTCTCTGGGATGGAATTAGAATGAGGAATTCGGCCTTTGCTTGATTCAGCATTGTCGTCACGCAATTTTAACTTTTCTGTCAACGAGGTAATTTTCAGATCTTGCTCCTTGAGAGAGTGTTGTAATCTTTCAATTGCACGGGCCATAGTTGTCAATTGCTCTTCATACGAGGTAATACTCATTATCATGACTGGCATAATGATGGAGTTAGAAAAAATCTTTGGCTTTGGGTGGACTAGCCTTGAACTTGTGACTGGAGCAACCTTTGAGGTTGTAGGAACCTTCCTCCTTGTCCCCTGCGAGGTGAAACTTGAACTTGTGACTGGAGCAACCTTTGAGGTTGTAAGAACCTTCCTCCTTGCCCCCAGTGAGATGAAGGGGGTATGAGTTTAAGTTGTTACTTTGACAGATTTGGCAGAATTGACTCTCATTGCATTGTGCTATCTTTTGGCAGGAACGGATGCTTTGACCATGCTCCACATCACTGAACTTACAGAGGTGTTTGTACCACTCAATGAAGTTGCAACCTTCTTGCCACCTTTTATGATGGTATTGATGTTATCCGTCATGACCGCGATGTCTTTGGTAGTGTTTTTGCTCTTTGTCTGAATCTTGTTGAAAGTCATAGAATCTGACGATGAATTTGTTGAGGATTTAATGTAGGAGAAAGAGATGAGAGGCAGAGGAAGTCCCACCGGGCGTGCGAAAAATTTGTACACACAAATTTTGTAAGTCTGCAAATAGAAACAAAATATGGAGCAAATAGTAATTTATTAATTTGGAAAATTTGAGTACAATCCTCTGTAATAATATTATTTACAAAAAGAATGGTCCTCTGATATGATCTCCTTTTTGTTGTTGATTGGATCCAAGGGCTGCACGAGTTTGTTCTTGAATCACCGTGGAATTTGATGAAGAATGGCACGTCGTTGGATGTGCTTGTTGTTGACCACCGTGGAATTTGATGAAGAACGGCACGACTTTGGATGTGCTTGATGTTCTTTGCTTTTGGGTTTGGATTTTGAATTTGTGTCTCTGACTTCTGAGTCTCTGGATTTTTGTACTTCTGAATTCTGAATTTGTGTCCTTTGTTTCTGAACTTTTGAATTCTGAATTTGTGTCTGAATTTCTGAATTCTGAATCTGTATCATTTGTTGAATTTGATGAAGAACGGCACGTCTTTGGATGTACTTGTTATTCTTCGTCTTCAGAGAGGAGAAAATTTGTTGAATTTGGTGAAGAACGGCACGACTTTGGATGTGCTTGGTGTTCTTCGCCTTCAGGTTTGCCCTCGGGATTTCTGACCCTTTGGATTTCTGGACCTTTTGGATTTCTGAGTCTCTGGATTTCTGGACTCTGAATTTGTCCCCCTCCTTCTCCTCCAGGCCTCTATTTATAGGCTTCTTGGGTTGATAGGATGATGACACGTGTCATCTCTTGATAAGGATAAAATTATAACTGGACCGGATTGGTTATATTATGATAATTATCCTTAAAAATAATTATTCCAAATATATTTTATTAGGAATAATTATCTGTTTATTTAACCATCTGGGTTGGGCTAATTATATAATTTAAATGGACCAAGCTTGAGCCAATTAAATAACATAATTAAATATTAAGCTCATAATGGGTCAATTTGTCAAAACCAAAGCCCACTAAATTTTTAGTGCCTACAATATATATATTATATTTGTATGTATATAAATAAATGTACCAATGAAGTCAATGATGGGACGACCATCACAGCAACGCCGGTGGGATGATGGAAGTAGGTTTCTCCATATGGTAGATGAGCAAAGTTGGGGAGAGTCAAGTTATTGGACATAGCGTAGTGAAGATAGTTTCTGGTGTCAGTGAGGGAGTCCCCGAAGCTAAAGATGGATGTGTAGCATCCGATGGCGGGTTGGGTCGGGAATGTTAAGATGACGAGGGGCAGAGTGTGAAAATGAATGTGTGTTTGAATGTGAAGTAGTGAGATGAAGAAGAAAAGTCATGTTAATGCACGTTTGCAGAGAAGAGCGTCTCAAAAGCATATATATATATATGTGTGTGTGTGTGTGTGTGTGTGTGTGTGTATAATCAGAAAAGTAAGTGACCGTTCAACATATGTAAGTGATCGTTCAACATATGTATATATCATTGCCTTGGCTTACCCATCAGTCTTCTCAAACCCCTCCACCAAACACCATTGGCTTACCCATCAGTTTTCTCAAACCCCTCCACCAAACGAAAATTTTTTTTAAACGTGTGGACCGGTGTGATCCTCCAATAATTTATGGATAATACAGAAAAACGCTAGCACTAGCGCTTTTTTAAGGAGCGCCTTCCATTCCCTCCACGTTTTTCCCTTCCCTCTATTTTTTCCCTTCGCTGATTTATATACATTTAACTATTTAAGCCCTAAACTATGTCGTTTTTTGGGGCCAATTAACACTGTAAAGTACTTTGCCATTTTATTTAGCCCTAATGCTCTCTCTCCTTCCATCACAACTCTCTCTCTTTCCAACACCCGTATCGCCCATCACCGGTCTCGCCCTTCCATCACCAGTTCTCACAGCTTTCAAAAAACCCCTTCTCTCTCTATTGTCTCTCCTTTTTAAAACGCCTTCTCTTTCTGTTTCCCTTCGCTGTCTTTTCCATCCAAAATCAGGAGAGGAAAGAGAAAGAGTAAGAGAGAGAAAGCAATTTCAGTCCCCATAAAACTACTCTAACTTTCACTCTCTTCTTGTGTGGAAAGTAATCAAGTTCGCGAAGCAGAAATTAAAGAGACTGCATTATTTTTAAGGTCTGTATATAAATTCTCATCTTTGTGACTTCCTGTTTGGTTTCTTGGGTGAACGAGAAAAAATTAAGTAAAATCCTAGAAAATGCTCAATATTTTAGAAAGCATTTTATTATTTCTTTGTTTTGAAGAGTTTTTGAGTCTGCATTTGCCTACTACTCTGATTTCATGTCGTAATTTTAGTTTAGCTCCGCTTCAACTCGTTATAGGAACTCTTGCACTCTTGATTCTAACTTAGTTCGTGGAATATTTTGTGTTATTTACCGATTTATTTGTTAATTTAAGTAATTTTGGATTTCACTTGAAGTTCTGATTACTTTTTCTAAATGCTTCTTTCTTCTGATATATGCTTCCTACTCTTTTAACATGCATGTTTGGTTGTTTATGTTTGATGATCTGTTTTGATCCCATTAATGGAATTTTCCAAATGTAAGTTCTTTTTCTTTTAATTTTCAATTTTTAATTTTTTTTAAAATTTTTAAAATTTTTTATTTTTAATTTTTAATGTGGATTTTAATGTTGAATTGGAGATGTCCACTGAGATGGAGGGTAAATATATCAATTTTTGCAGAGATTGTTTTAAGAGTAGCAACCATAGCGAGCAGTAGAATGATTTGCTATTTTTTGGGAGATGAATTTAATATTTTTTATTTTTTTTTCTCGGTGTTAGTTGTCTGAATTTTCAATTTTATTTTTCTTTGTACAGGAGGAAATAATCGATCGTAGCTTGGATTATTGGAACAAGTTTTGTCGTTGATTAGTCTGATTTCGTTTTTAGGTAATTTCTTTCTTTCTTTTTTTGTGTTCCAACATTGAGATCTAAAGCATTTTCTGTTGATTAAAGTCATATTTTTGACCTATGGTCATAATCATACTTGCCTCTTATTTTGAATTCATTAAAGCTTATAAAAACTTATTTGCTCATTTGTTAGTGTCGATAGTCCTTAACTTTACCATTTTAAATCTATTATTACTCACCAAATATATATAATAAGTCTATAAATTAGTGGGTTCAGCCGCAAAAACTGAAAAGGGGGAAAAAAAAAAAAAAAACACTAAGTTTATGCAGGTTTTGGAAGAAAATTATATTGTTACATAGTTCAGGTGAGAGTTTTTGGGAATGTTAAGGACATATGAGCCAAATGGTAAAACTTAACTATTTCAATACTAAGCATCTAATAAGAGGCTGAAAAGTACAAATAAAAATAAAATAAATAAAAAAAAAATCCGTTTGGCTTCCTACAAGTACAAACAGCATGAAAAAAATAAGAAAAGTAAAAATCTGATCAAAATGTGACAGAAAGACGCAACAAAACTCCCCAATATAATGTCAACTAACTCTTTCACGAATCAAATGCAACATTTCAATTGCAAGTCTACATATTTTCAAAAACACATAGCCAATTAGCATTTTAAGATCCTGAATATTATAGATCAAGAAGAGTACAATAATAACAATTCAGAAAAATAAATAATAAAAAAGGCTGACTGAAATTTATACTTATGTGTTTGTTGGTGATCATCTTTGAACTATATAATAATTATTTCATTTTAACTAATGTTTGTTGATTTGTAAAAAAATTTAGTGTGTTTATGTGTATATATGAAGACGTGGAATTTGATTACAATTTTACGTCATTTATTTGAAATGGAAAATACTCCTTCCGTCCCATGTTAAAAGTCTACTTCGGATAGGATGTAAAAAGTAATCTATTGAATACTAATTGCATAGCATTAAAAATATTGTTGAAATATAGTTGTTGTATCAATTTTGTTTTTAAAGATACTAGTAGTGTGTAAAAGTGCGAAGGTTGACATTGAATCTCAAATCTGAGACCTCCTCATCTACTGTGTATGACTATCGAGTGAATGTTATATTACATGAACATTTCATGTTTTTAATATAGCAAACCAAACAACAACAAAAAATTATCAAAAATCGGAATGACTCTTCTATTGGATTCCATTCCTGTGCACTGATTATTGCCTAATGTATGCTTTACACATGGCCTAAAAATCTCTCTAAGTTACAATAACTGACTCCAAAACCATGAGTAGTTGGGATAAATCTTCACATCTCATAAGCTTCAACCTTTTAGAATGTATTGATGAACCCATTGCACCCAAAAATAAGAAGGGAAAGGCTGTATAAGAAGCCAAAGATTTGACACCTTTATTCCAAACAGACACATCTTTGAGACCAAATCCACCTTGTTGAATATCACAAACAACTCAACTCCTAATGGTTGATATATTTAAAAAATAAAAAATAAAAAAGCCACTTAATTACACGTCATCTCAGCCGCTACAAATCTATTTTTTTCAAATGGTTGATCGGAATTTCAAGTCTCGGTATAAATATGTATGTGTCACTAAATATTTGAAAATTCAATGAATAACAATTGCACAATCACTAAGTACTTAAACTGCTATTTTTCAATTCTTTTTAATTAATTATTTTTCAATCCTCAATATTCTTTTTTTTAGCTCATTTTCAAACACTTGAGTGAGATCATTTTATTCCTAAGCAAAGCCTTCCTTATGCAATTCTAATTTCCATTGGACAACCAAAAACACCCTAAAGTTTTGAGGTATTTGTTATTTCTTTTTATTAGTTTTACTTGGATTATGCACCGCCTTTTTTTAACAATTTTAATGGCATTCTCTTAAATGAATTGTCACTTTTTTGTTTCCTTTTTCAGGAAGGATAAATAATAAGTTGACAATGAAACGAACGGTTAGTGAAGTGGAAAAAGTGAGTGAAGAAAATACCAAAGCTTCAACTTCAAAATCATCCAAACCACCGCCGAAGAATAAACGGGGCCCGACCCGATGCAAGAATGTCGTAAACGCGACTAACCTTAATACCATTAAGGTTACATATATATAGAGATCATCTTATATAGTTTACATTATTAGACTATATTCAATATTCTATCTTTATTTTTGTACTAAACATCTACAATTGTTAATTTTTGTGTAGGGTTAATAAGTATGGATAACCAATCGGCCTTGAAAGGGGTACATATACTAATTATTTGGGACCACTTGTCCGGAATGGTAGATTAGCTCCTTTGTGCTACAAAACTTGGTGGGAGATGCATAAACGGCTTAAAGAGGATATGTGGAACATTGTAAAGGTAAAACCCTTCAATGACATTAAAATAATTTTGATGGAAAAAGTGGATTAACATGCAGCAATTATCACATTTTCAGGGAAAATATAATGCGGGAATCATGTTAAAACAATGGACATTATCCTCCATCGGAAAAAATAGAGGGGGTACAAGTGTGAATTAAAAAGTGAATACTACTCGGTTAGGTATACAGATGCAGAAAGATTGGCAAACCCACTATCTGATGTTGAAAAGGAGCATTGGGAATTTTTGGTTAGGCATTGGGATATGCCTATGGCGAAGGTAATCCTCCATCTACCAATTTTGTTTAAAGTCAATGAGTTGAATTTATAGTTTACCTGTTCAGTCATTATTTTAGGTAGAATGTTTTTTACTCAAAGAACGTTTACTTTTTCTCACTTTTTGTAGGAGGTCAGTGAAAAAAACAAAGAACATCGTGGGAAGCAGACAATGATGCATACTACAGGGACAAAAAGCTTTGCATGTGTTTCTGCCGAGGTTAGTTGAAGTTTTGGCAATATAAATTATTTCAATTTTTATGTCGTTGAATGATTATAAATGTTAGTGGTAAATAATATATATCATAATGTCTATGTTTCTTTTATAGATTGAGAAAAAAAAAAAAATGTATTCAACTTTCTCGTGCAGATTTATTCATTTGCACATATGTAAATAAGGATGACAATGCTATTGATGCTGCTGCTTCGGAGATGATTGTAAGTTTTCATGCTTCCAGTTTGCAAAAAAGGGGTCACGTGTCTTGAAGTGACCAATTTTTAAACTCTTTGCGGTGTATTAGGGGGTCACATGTCTTGAAGTGACTAATTTTTAAATCATTGGCCCGTGTGGAGGCAATTTACTTTCTTGTATTTGTTGAAAAACATGGGAGTATGGGATCATTGTATGTGGACGCTTCTCAATTGTATTTATTTTTATATGCTTGAATAGTTGCATCAGATGTCTACAAGTTAGACAAGAATCACCATCAATAATATTAATAGTATTTTGTACAATGGGGTCATATGTCGATAATGTTTACGTAATATAGTACACACTAATCATAACTTTAAATTCTCTTAATCAACATGTTTGGAAATTTAATCATGTTATGTTTCTGTATAGAAATGGCAGGTGCCTGATGTTAATAATAATCTTGCAAGACATATACTTCTTCCTGTTTATTGTTGGTATAAAGACTAGTGTTGTTAGTCATAATCTGACTCTAGACCAAATGTGTCCCTCTGGAGCTTTGTTTGCCTTTACTTTCCAAAAAGCCTACCTAATCAAATAGCAGTGAGATTTTTATATACTAGTTCCTACGGACTGGAAGCTTAAAACCTGGGAAATTTTGCATTTATCCCTATTGATGTTTGCCAAAATAACAGTCCTCATTTGTTTTAGTAATTTTCTAGTGTGTTGAATAGTTTAATCTAACTTTAAAGGGCAAGCAAATTTACTATATTTGCTCACTTGTTTTATTTATATTTTAATTGTTAAATGGCCAATTAAAGAGAGATCTTTCTATTTTGTTCCAGACAAAAACAAAATACAAAACATGTATTGTCTATTCAAATCACTAATTACTATAGATTATTTGCAAAATTAATAATAATTATAGTTCCCATAACTAATTTTAATCCTTTGGAGAATTATTATTGTAAATGCTACGATTCGCCACATTATCATTCTTTTAGGGAAATCTTGTTTCATATTATTACTATTAGAAAATCTATCACACTCACACACGTTGTTTATCTCCTAAATTCTCTTCATATGAGTGATTATTCTTAGGTTCTAACGAACATGACTTTGCTGCTAGTATTTCTTATAGCAGTTTAGCAGAACTCGAAAATTACTGTCTTATATATAATTTAGTATGTATAAGGTTTTGTGCATGTTCTTGTGTTGTATATATTCAAATATATTTTATTACAACTTTAACTTAATTCAACTTTTTTGAACTGTCTAGCCTTATGTTGTCTAACAATAACAATTTTTTTTTTTTTTTTTTGCAAGAAAACATAAAATGTCTTCAAAAAAGTTACTCTGACTCGTCTATTGGCAGTTCTAATGATTTGTTCTCCGTTGTGAGGGGAGAAGAGAGAACCGGTCGTGTGCAGATGCTTGGCTTGGGGCCTACACCAAGCGATGTTTGGGGCCCTCTCCTAGTAAAGCTGAACTGATTAATAATGCCAAAAAATCTGATGAGGAGGCAAGAGCTGCACGTGTAGAATTTCAGGAGACCATTTCAAAAATGCAAGCCGACTATGACGACAAGTTGGAAAATTTACGAGCCAATTATGACGATAAGTTAGAAAATTTACAACTACAGGTGGCTATGCTAATGCAGACGCAACAACAAAATTGTAGTGGACAGGTATATTTATTATTAGTTTTACTCTTTACTAAATATACGTTTACTTATGCTAAGATTTCTTGTATTTTGCTTTGTTATTTTGAAGGGTTCTGATTCTTTAAATGCTCCTAGAGTATCCCCAAATTCATTTTCTAGTCCCGATGCCAATTCAGTTAAGGTTATGAACTTTAATTTCTCTTATATGTTAAATTTTCATTTATTATAATGTGCACTTAATGAATTTCTAAAAAATGTAGGGTAATTCAAATCAAATGGGCAAGAAGAGTTGTTAAAGTTGAAGTTGAAGCTGAAGATGGGGTTGTGGCTGTGCTTTCTGCATTTCCTTCGCCTTGGATGGGTTCTTTTTGAAAAACTTGTACTACATTTGTCAAAAATTCTTAATTCTTTTTGTGTCACATTTAGTAGATTTAGACAATTTGGATGGTATTTTCATACTGGCAGGTTAACTTGTGGTTGTATTAGTAGACATTTTTTGAGTTTTGGTTGACATTTATCAACTTTATCTATAAGTAGACAATTTCGATGGTATTTTTCATATTGGCAGCAGGTTAACTTATGGTTGTATTATGTAAAAACAATTTGGATGCTATTTTCATATTGCCAACTTGTGTTATATTGGATGACGGATGACATTTAGCTGTAAAGATATTTTTCCAAAATAAAGGGAAAAAAAATAAATAAATAAAATAAATGACACTTTACTAGTGCTTCTTTAAGACGCGACAGTAAAAAAAAAAAAAAAAAAAAAAAAAGCACTTTTTTTTTTAAAAAAAAAAGGGTCATTTATTATACCCTTTACTATACCAGCTTTTTTTAAAAAGCGCTGGTAAAGGGTCAATACCAGCGCTTTTCAAAAAGCGCTCGTAAAAGTGCTGGTAAAGACCTTTTACCAGCGCTTTTTACTATACCAGCTTTTTTTAAAAAGCGCTGGTAAAGGGTCAATACCAGCGCTTTTTAAAAAGCGCTCGTAAAAGTGCTGGTAAAGACCTTTTACCAGCGCTTTTTGAAAAGCGCTGGTATTGATCCTTTACCAGCGCTTTTTAAGAAGAGCTGGTAAGCTTTACCGACACTAGATTTACCAGCGCTTTTTCAAAAGCGCTGGTAAAACGCTGGTAATTATTACCAGTGTTGGTAATGTTGATGTTAGATTTACCAGCGCTTTTTCAAAAGTGCTGGTAAAACGCTGGTAATTACCAATGTTTTTTTGGACTTTCACCAGCGTTTTTGAGCGCTGGTGAAAGCTGAATTCCAAAGTATTTTTTTTTGTTCTTTTCCAATAGAATCACGATTGTTTCTATACCAACCTCTATTTGATTACTAAATTTATTTGAAGAATGTACTATATTATGTGTTGAATAGGGAAATAATTAAGCTTAAAATATTATAGGAAAATTTGATGTTAACTTTTTGTTCATAGTTAGATCTATCTTTTGGATCTCTCCCAAGTTTCCACACCTTCAATTGATAAAGCTAACAATTTATTTATTTATTATTATTTTTTCATTGGTGAAAAAAATGAAAAAGAAACATTAAAAGTTTGTGAATACTAATTCTGATTGGTGCAATTTTATAGTCCATCCGTCCCACATTAGAGGTCCATTTTTAGAAATGGGAGTTTTTAAGGGGACATGCATTTAATGCATTTTCCCTTTTAAAATTACCAATTTGTCCCTTCTAATTTAAGTATATATAATTACAAAGTTTGAAATTTTTTTAAAAGAAAAAGGACAATGATGGAAATATAGAATTTATTTGCTTTGACTTTTCAAAGAGGACAACTAATTTGGGACATGTAAAAAGAAAAAAATGGACTATTAATATGGGACGGAGGGAGTATCACTTATGAGCTTTTGCTGATTTGTATATTATTTTACAAACTGAATAAAAGTTTAGTAGTTGATTGATGTAGATAGACTAAGGTTGAGTATGGGGATTTGTGGGGAGAGAGAGGGAGGAAGGAAGAGAGGAGAGAGTCTTGCAAAAAGAGTAAAAGAGGGATTCTAAAAATTTCAAATAAGGAAAGAAAAAAAAAATTGAGTTTGGGTTTAATAGGTAAGAAGTTGGATAATAATCATTACTAAAAATTTTTAAAACTTGGACATGTGTCTAAATTGTATTGGGCCACATGTGGCTGAAGAATAAACTTCATCTTCCTAAGGAAAGACCCAAGTCTAGTCTTTTTAGATATGTGTCTAAATTGTATTGGTCCATAACAACTGGGAGAATAAAGTTCTTCCTCCCATGAGAGAACTCAAGTATTGTCCATGATTTACAAATTAAGATTACATGCTTCAAATACAACATTGTCATAGAAACTAAATCCCGACTCCGTCCCGAGTGTAATCTTGTCAAAATAGAAACGAGTCTTATCTTCTCGATCCACTCTTTCTTTGAGCCAAGTACAAGTACAAGTACAATTTAAATATTTACATTTTTCAAGACTTAATTGGACTCACTTAATTTAGCTTTACGAACAAAGTGTTCAAAGGCATACAAAATTATTCTATTTGTATAATAATATGAAGTCATCTAGAAAAAAATTATAGCCAAAGTACTTGCATGCATCATATCATAAAAAAAATAAAAAATAAAAAACCAAAAGTGATGTCATACAAATTAGGGTAAAGTGTAATAAACCCCCCTGAACTATAAGATAATTGCACAAGACCCCACTAAATTAACAAATGTCCTTCCTGAACTATTAAAAAATTACAGTTGAGGACATCAGGTGAGTCTCTGGCACCGGAAAACCAAGATAACAAAATTACCCTCTAATGAACGGCACCGTTTTGGTGCTTTAATTAACTTATTCTGCTGACATGTCAAATAAAATCTAAAGACCCAATAAAAATTTGCCAACCCATCACCTTATCACCTTATCACTACCCCTGCCTCATTTTAGTGGCTCACCTTTCCCACCTCATTTGGTACCAAATACCACCCATTAACACCGGTGACCAAAAAAAGAAAAGTCCACCTTTGAGGCAGCACACCATCTGTGGGACCTACTTATCATAGGAAATGATGCAATCTCCACCTTTGAGGCAGTACACCATCTCTCTAGAGCTGGAGAAAAGTCACAAAATATTGATGTGTATAAAAAAAAGTTAAAAGGGTGGAAGTACCAAATTTGGTGTGAGAGAGAAACAAGGGCATTGCAGCATTGTAATAATCTGCATAGCTAATGGTGGTATGGGGATGAAGTTCTTGAATCCGGTTTAGTTCTATCCGAAGTAATTCATTGTGGTACTCAGAAAGCTTGTTCAACCAAGTGAGGCAGCCAGTTTTGGGGTCATAATCTTCCGCTGCAGAATTGGTGTAATAGGCTAAGATTGGTCGCCGTGCATCCAAGTGGTATGATCCCAGGGACCATGAGCGTCACCACTCCAAGCTCGATTAACTCCTGCATGTATAAATCATTTTCAAAAGAAGTGTGCACGCATGTGTGTGTGTGTGAGAGAGAGAGAGAGAGAGGAAAAATTGCATTTTACAATGCAACCAGGTACCCTGAAGGCTGAAACACCGAACATAAATTGTCCACTCATGGAAGTGATTCAGTAGGAGTACTGTTCTAGTGGGACACAATTTATAGAGTTTTATAATAGCACCTCTAGTTATCTTTTTCCTTGGCCTGTCTCTACACTGCTGTCAGTAAGGAATTTAAGTTGAACAATAAGAGGGATGTTTAAGAAAATGAACTATCCAAATTCATATCTACACCAGATTTTGATCAAAATTGGTAACTTTGAAAATTGTTGACTTTAACTCTGTATATACGTAGTTAAAATGCCGGACTCACCGGGTATATATATATAGGGTATATATATATATATGTGTATATGGATGAGAAAGTTTAGAAATAAGTGCCTAAACTCCCAATGACCCTGGAGTTCAACTGGTCAAGTACTGCAGAGGTCTACTTACCTGAAGATGCGTTGGTGCATAGAGATGGCAACATTTCTTTGAACCAACCCAACTGAACTCCCAACAAAAATTTCTCGTGCTGATTTTCAAATCCCATTTCTCGATATAACGTAGCATCCATCGTGGAAGCACCCACTACCGCAAAATTCACACCCTCTTCAAAATTCACTGACCAAATATTCTCTCCATTACCCAAATAAGGTGGTGCCAGTCCAAGTCCAAGATTCTGAGCTGCAATGCAAACCCCATTCACTCATCCATCAAATTATATATATATAGTTCATGTGTGTCGAATATAAACTTCCTTTACAAGAAGATAACCTTTAGATATGATTTAAGTATACTTGATCAATGTGGATAATGACAAACAGAGAAGGATTTTTCTTCATTTATCTATCGAATGAATACAACATGTATATAGCAGTACAGACACAAACTATGGAAGCTATTCTAGGCTATACACAATCTTAGGCTCAGATTATAGTTGACCCTTAAAGAAAGGAAAATAATAAAATATAAACAGAACAACTAATCAGCCCTACAATTTTTCCAATTAAATCTGGATTGACAACTCACGCCAACACTCCCCCTCAAGTTGGTGCATAGATATCACTGATGCCTAACTTGTCAAGTGAGTTGTAGAAGATCTTGTTAGAAACGGCCTTCGTGAGTATATCCGCCAGTTGGCCTTCAGATTTGACAAATGGGAATTGAACTATCTTGTCATCGAGCTTTTGTTTGATGAAATGTCGATCTACCTCAATGTGTTTAGTGCGGGCATTATGAGAAATATCGATGGCTGCCTTATTATCACAAAATAAGTTCATTTCGGAATTGGGAGCAAAGCCAATCTCCGTTAGCAACCTCTTAAGCCAAAGGAGTTCACAAAGTCCTTTAGCCATTCCTCTGAACTCGGCTTCAGCACTAGATAATGCCACTACCTTCTGCTTCTTGCTCCTCCACGTAACAAGATTACCTCCTACAAAGGTGAAGTAGCCTGATGTAGACTTCCTATCGGAAACACTCCCCGCCCAATCTGCATCTGTATAACCATCAATATTAAGATGATTATTCTTGGAGAAAAAAAGTCCTTTCCCTGGAGCCGACTTCAAGTAACGAAGAATTCAAACTACTGCATCCATATGATCTTCACTAGGTGAGTGCATAAATTGACTGACTATGCTTACGGCATAAGTAATATCTGGACGTGTATAGGATAAATAAATTAGCTTACCCACTAATCTTTGATTCCTCTCCTTGTTAGTTGGCACCTGATCTGGGTACTCTCCAAGCTTCTGATTCTGAACCATCGGAGTATAGGCTGGTTTGCAGTCTAACAATCCCACTTCAGACAATAAATCTAGCACATATTTCCTTTGAGACAAAAATATACCTTTTCTTGATCTGGCTACTTCAATCCCTAAGAAATACTTGAGACCCCCAAGATTCTTCATTTCAAATTTGGTTGCCAATCTCTTCTAGAGTTTAGAAATCTCCTCTATGTCGTCCCCTGTGATAATCATGTTATCCACATAGATTATTAAAGCTGTTACCTTTCCATGCTG